TTTTTTTTTTTCATTTTTCCCCCCCCCCCCCCCCTCCCCTCGGGGACACCGCCCTATACAGGAGTCAGCCCAGGTTCTTTTTCAAGTCAAAAGTCTTAGCTTGACAATGTGTTGCGTTCCCTCTAGGCCTAGAACCTTTCAATGTGCCAGTCTCCCCACCCTTGCGGCTGCAGCCGCCTTCTATCCTCGTTTAGAATTGTTTCTATCACAACTAAATCTTAATTTGCTCGTAATAATTTTTCATTAACACAAATCTTCACGCTTTTCCCTGCTTTTTCGGGGCAAAAACAAATTTTTCCATAACAGTTCGTATTGAATTGAAAAAATTACTATTGGATTATCCTGTAAACAGTTTTCATTAGTCGTTTGAAATTCCGCGGATGGATGCAAGATGTGAAAACCTCAAGCCTAAATTTTTTTTCAGAATTTTCTTTAAATTTTTGGCCCCTCGCCATAATATTTTTAAAGAATCCCATCTAAATCGATTTATTATTAACACTTTTGGGATGAACACATTTTGAGAAATATTTGGGAGCAAATAGTCGTCGATTTCTTGAAGTAAGTGAACCGAAAAGGGTAAAATTATCCGAGTGGAACTACAATAAATGTATCATGCTCTCTCAAATGCGGCACTGTCATTAGTTAAAATCTGAATGTAAAAAATCGCCCTCGTCAATGGTGGATTCCATGAGGAATGATTGAGAAATTTTTCAATAGTGAATTCTCTCCTAACAGTATTCTTGCATTTTTCTGTATAATTTTTATAATTTTAGGGGAAAGTGGGGCAAAATGAAACAAAAGAAACTGTTTGACGTAATTAAAACATAATTTTTGTTATTAAATACTTTTTTTTAATAACTTTTGTTTATTACCTTTTCTTTATTCTGTGGAGTACTAATGATAATAATAATTCTCCATTCAGTAGAATGGAAAATTATTGAGAAGTTGGAAGAAATGGATTAATTGAAAAGAAAATGAAACAGTAAAATCCAAAGTCCAGAGCAAGGCCCAGGAGGAGACACAGAGAGGGAAAAAGAAAAATCTGATGCTGAATTTCAATCGAATAAAAGAAGACAAGTTTAATCAGGATAATCTAATCAATTGAATTATAAGACGAATAAAAAATTATTATTCTCATCAGTACTCCCAATAATAAAAAAAGCTAATTAACAAAAGTTGATAAAAAAATTTTTTTTTGCTTGAATTGCATTAAATAGTTGTTTTTCAGCTGTTTCATTTTGCCTCACCCTCCCCTAATTGTAATTTTGATAATTGAGATTCTCTCAAACCCTTCTTCTACAGAGGTTTTTTTCTACAAAATTTTCGAAAAAATATGTGCAATAACAATTACAAATTTTTTTTTTGAAATTCAACTCCTACACAGTTAATTTCGTTATTATTTTAATAAAAAATAGCACCATTCATGTAAAATAGTCCGAAAAATGTTTCTGAAAAAATCAAGAATATATTTTTAACATTTTAAGGATATTTGTTCTGCTTATATTACATGAATGGCACAAATTTTTCTATTAAACAAAATGAAATGAGCTGCGTAGGAGTCGAATTAAGAAAAAAAAATTTGTAATTGTTATTGTAAACAATTTTTCAAAAATTTTGAAAAATAAAAAATCTCTGTAACTCAAAAATTGGAGGCCCTGGACTATTTTTAACATTTTAAGCGTCTGCGGAGCAAACGAACAATAAACAATGAATTTTTTTGCACTAATTATTGGTTTTTAAAGATTCATAATCGATCTTCAATGTATGAGAAATCTCATTCCAATATGCCATGACTTTTAAAATTCATAGTAATCTCCCCTTGAGAATTTTCTCCACCACCAATCCTCCAGTATCGAAACAAAATAATGAAAAAAAAATCCACTGGTGTTTGATATCCAGCTCACGTGGCACATGGGACCCAGAGCGCTGGCACATGGACAGAAAACGTAGTGAGACACCTCCCGAGGAAGATCAACGTCGTAACGACTTACCAATCGAGTACAAGCGTCGCAGTGGCGATCCACGTGAACGTCTTCGCAAGGAGCAGGACGGTATCGTACTCTCTCCTCAACGACGCTCCTTCAACTCCGGTTGCTTCGTGAACATCACTCAGCCACCACCTCGCCGTCCAGAGAGTCCCATCCATAAACCAGAAGTTCCCCATCGCGAGCCAGTCCGCAGAATTGGTTCAGGTCGCCTCCTCACTCGAGACATGTGGGACTTTCGCCCTGAGACCGAGAAACTTGAGCCCGAGAGAACAGACTTCGCCTTCAGAAACACTGGAAACGGTTCACGCGAAGTAGGTAGAGAGCCAATGCGTGATCGTGACAACAATAGAGACAGAGACATCAGAGATGATAGGAATGAGAGATTTGAGCGTAGATCATTTGGCAGAGATTTCGGTGATCGTGAGACTCGCGACAGGAATGATCGTCATCCAATGGATCGTGATAAGGACAGGAGGGAGAGAAAGTTTGCGACTGATCGTAGAAGAACATACTCGAATGAACCAAGGGAGCAAGAGGAGCCTGAGTGGTTCTCCGGAGGTCCAATCTCTCAGCACGACACTATTGAGCTTCGTGGTTTCGACGATATTCCTGAAGAGAAAACTATCAAGAACAAGAAAGTCTCACCAGCTCAGAAGAAACGTGGCAAGAAGGCAAATGAGAAAGAGGAAAAAACTGAGAGCACAAATTCGGCTGGTCCGAAGGGAAGAAGCACTCCAACTGCTATGGATCAACCAATCAATCCGATTCATGCACCTCATTCGCCAATTTCTGAGCAGGAGGAACTGTCTGCCAATGGGAAGAAAATGCGCGAGGGTAATGATAGTGGGAATACTGAGCAGAGTGATGTTAACGATCGATCTGAAGGAAAGAGTAGGGATGGAGAACATCTGGAGTTCAATCTTGATGACTTTCTGAAGAGCGATAATCTTCCTGGGGTCTCTGGACTACTTACGAATGGAGTTGGGGCTGATGCTGGCAGTGGGTCCAGGTTTAGTCAGTGGTTCAAGAGGGAAAGCCCAGTTCTGGACAGTCGTAGGGAGTCTATTCAGGACGAACTGCTTAATAATTTGTTGAATGATATCACTGAGCCGAATATTCAGGTGCCATCGGTTAATGAGTCGAATGCCTATTTTGCACCGATCTCGCCTGCTAATCAAACTGGGGGCAATGCTGGGACTGGGACTAAGCTGCTGGAGATGTTGCAAAGGGGGAATAAACCGAGCCAGAATGGACAGGGAGATGGTGGCAATATGATGGGGATGATGAAGAATACGTCCATTAAAGAGATGGGTAAGGGATGGCGCGTTGTCATTTAGCTTTTCTTAATTACTGGAAGATGTCGAGAATGCACGCTGAGAACACAATATAATCCTGCCAATCACATTTGTTTCAGACAAACACGTGCCCGCAATTTCCATGCAAAATCTCACTATAAATTCTTGTGTAATTGGCAGAATTATATTCCTCTCAGTGCATAGTTTTTGGAGGAAAAAAGATTGAGTAACCTATTCGAATATTCCAAAATTCTCAAGAGACAACGGGTCTTGGCATTTCCTACACAATCCAATAATTACCAAAATAGGTTTATGATGAAGATAGGGATTGGCGATGGTTCAAAAAGCATGGATTATCGAAGAATTAATGTTTTTTCTCATTACACAGGAAAGAAAATTCTTCTAGTTTTTATTGAAAAATATATATTTAAAAAATACAATCCGAGGAACTTACGTTTCAATGATAAGTACTGCTGGAGAGTTAAATTTTCAATCTCGAAACAGTTTTGTTGATTAATTGAAAAAAATATATTGAACATTTTCCGTGGCTGGACGTTAGCTGCAATAATTGTTGAAAATTTTAATTAAAGAAAATTACAAAATTTGAATTTAAAAAACCAATAGACGATTGGACTTGTCGACTTACCATTTATAACGTACATATTAATTTTTTATTCTCAATCAATCAACATTATTATTCGATAAAAAAATGAAAAATTTTGTTAGCTTGGTCAAAAAAATCGATGTTTGGGCATGAAAAATCGCTGTTTTCGATTAATCGACAAACATCGCCCATCCCTAGATAAAAATCATTGTCCAATCAATTTTACAAATTTCATTGCTGACTGATTTCTGTTTTTTTTTCCCCAGCAGAAGTTAGTGGAAAGGTCATGCACAGTCTTGAAGAACTAGAAGCTCGTATGCGAGGGGGCGTCCACCCTCCTTCACATATCGAACCAATACGTGTAAACAAGACTGATGAAGACATGTCAGCGTTCAAGAAGCTGCTGGCCCAAGTTACTGGGGGTCAGGCAGTGCCAGCTGCTAATGGGCCCATCGCTCCCAAACAAAATACTCAACCCATGACTCTCATGCAGCTTTTGAAGAATCAACCGGGCATGGGAGGTCCCCCACCCCATCAACCGCTAATGCCGGAGCAACAGCATCCCCCTTCCTTCAATCATGTGGGACCACTGGGACCTGCCCAGCATCCACACCAGGCACAGATGCAGCATGAAAATTTGATGAAAGTTCTGAGAATACAGCAGGTTCGTCAGAATTGGATTGATTTTAATGTAATCTTCTTTTCGTCAAACTTAAAACCATGAATTTGACTGCACGAAGAGACACACACTTAGGTGTGTCAATCATTCTTATATTTTGTCAAATTAAGGCCCGGGTGGATTATCTTCCGAACGTGAACTTGGTTTTTTTTTTATTTTGATAATCTGAAATGATCTCCAATTGCCATTCAGTTTTACGGAGCCCTGGAGTCTCTAAAAATCATGATCGCAGAATAAAAAAAACGTTTAAAAAAAGCTGAACATTTTCAAAGAGCGTTTTTGAATAATTTTGGGAAATAAATCCAATAGGGAGGATATTACAAATTAATAATTTTATGTATCTAATGGCTGTTAGATCATCATTTGTCACAGCAGTCAATGGCTGTCAGATCGGTAGTTACCATGATAAATTATCCATTCACTATTTCCTCTCTATCTGACTTATTTTCCTAATCTTTATTAAAAACGCTCTTCGAAAATGTTCAGTCTTTTTTCTATTTTTTTTTATTGTACAATCATAATTTTTAGGGACCCCCTCGTGATATAAAACCCAATGAAAATTGTGATATATTTTCCATTATGAAGATGGAAAAACAATCGAGATAATGTTCGAAAGATAATCCATCCGAGCTTTAAATACTGATATTTGACGTATCAAAAGGGAACCACTCTCTTCAAAATTGAATTGATTACAAGAATCATCTCATAATGGAATAGCATGAATACCACTGCTATTAAATAGCACAGCTCAATACTGCACTGAGAGAAAAGAAAATTATATTCCCAAATAAGTCTTGTTTGAAGCGAAAAAGTACGAAGATAAAAATTGCTTTATTCTAACATACGAAAGTTTCAAATATAAATAGTCGATGTGTTTTTTTCAGGATGAAAATATGCTTCATAAAGCGAAGTTCATCAAGAAATATTTTGTTCTTTAATTGTAAAATTGCTATCGTATCATCATTATTATTGTATTTATGAATTAATTTCTTATCTCTGATCTTTTAGAAGGCGAAACGAGAAACTATTCTGCCTTCTTTCGCATAAAATGAACATTTTTTGGGAGTAAAATATGTATGATAGCATAGAATAACGAATAGGTAGGGCTAGAAGGGAGGTTTCTGGCTTGCACAGAAAGTGACAATTTTTCATCTCAGGAACCTCTTCAAATGTTCAGTGCAAAATTTTGAGTTCTTAATCTTGTTCAATTCGGATTTTTTAAAAATTTCGAACAAGACTTGTTTTATTTTCTCTCAATTTGCGTTTCACACTTCACTGAGTTCATACTTAACTGAAAATTTAACTGCATTGAGAGAAAAGAATTTGTGTACTTTTGATTACTTTAGCAACAACAAGCACAACAACAAAAACGCCAGCAGCAGACAGACATGCTGTCGATGATGATGAGTGCTCAGAGAATGGTTGGGGCCAGTCCAGTGCCTCAAGACATGCAAATGTTGGTAAACAACGCACCATCGAGTCGTGAACTTCTTCAGAGACCAGAGGCTCAGGCGATTATTCAGGGGCTTCAACAGGGAGAAATCACCAGGCAGCATTTGATGCAGCAACTTCAGGTTCGTCATAACCAAGTAACAAGAAAAAGAGAATAATCAAACAAAAGTAAAACAAAGCTGAGGAAAACCACCGAAAAAAATTATGATGCGATGTTTATTTTTTGTTGCTCAGAACCCAGCTATGCAACATCGCCATCGTGAAGTGCTAGTGAACATTCTTAAGATGTATGGGAACACAACTCCTCGAACAGTGAGTCCCCACCAGACTCCAAATGTTACTCACGATCCAATGCTGCAACAACTCCTCTATCAACAGCAACAACGTGTTCCTTCCCCCATGAACAACGGTAATAACCAACTCCACATCTGAATACCTTATTCTTCAAGTTTGGCATTTATTAGTACAATTTTTGTTTCAATTTTCACTCTTCACAATTCAGTTGTGAAGTGATAAAATGAGACGAGTGCGAATAAGGGAGAACGTGACAAAATGAACTTGTGCGAATCTTTGACACCTGTTGATTTAATGATACAAGCAAAATGAGTTTTGCCACATTTTGAAGCACATAAAAATTCAGGAATTTTTACACAGGATCACACAAATTGAAAGTCTTTTCATGATTAAGGAAATTATCTTCTTCATTTTTATGATAGTTTCACGTATGAAGAAAACCACAGCCAAGCCACGGATTTTCATGGTCATTTCAAGGCTTTTGGTGGTCACGTGATGGTCATTTGGTGGGAATTTGGAACGCGTCCATAGCCAAGGGGGGAGGGATAATTGTGGACCCCCGATTTGATTCCTGCGCATTGGCCCTCATTTTGATCCTTAGATTTTAACCCTTACATTTTGACCCTTGTATTTTAACCCTTATATTTTAATCCTTGTTTTGACCTTTATCTTGTGACCCTTATATTCTAATTCTTAGTTTCTGATCCTTATATGTTGACCTTTAATTATCGGTCGGAAAGTTATTAATTTGCTCCATAATGGGGCCCACCCAATTTCATCAAAATATGGAAGGCTAAAAACAAGGGTTAAAATATGAAGGTCGAAATACAAGGGTCAAAATATAAAATTCCAAATGTAAGGGTTAAAATGAAAATGTCAAAATTTAAAGGTCAAAATCTAAGAGTCAAACTGAGGGCCAATTATGTCTAAGGGTCAAAATGAGGGCCAATTCTCAGGGATCAAATCAGGGGTGCAATATTATCCCTCCCTTCTTGCCCCTTGACACGTCCCAAATACCCACCAAAAGACTATGAAAATCAGAGGCTTGGCCGTGGTTTTGTTCATACGTGTTGACGTCTCAACTTGGATTAGTAATGGAGAAATAAAATGAACAGATGAGTTAGTAAACTCAATTTGCAAGAAGTGTGTAAACATTTTCGAAATAATTTAGGAATTCAAAGTTTTGGTCTCATTGTCCCTTATCATTACTTCATCAAATCTCTGGTTATCTTCGAGGCGAGTGGTTTTTTACTGGAAATTATCAAGAGATCTCGAAAAGTTTGATAATTTCTCATAAAAACCTCCTAATATCAAGTTTTCCAAACCTTAATAGCCTCATTACATTACTTTACTATTGAATTACACTCAAAGTGTGAACGTAGTCGTAGATTTATGAATTTCAAATCATTCTCAAAAAGTACAAAATTTTAATTTCTGGAATGCAGCTCTTTGTCCAGCATTAATGTCGTCCAATGTGGCGGCAAGTTCCAATACATTATCGATACAGCACCCAGGTAAAAAGCCCTCCTTTTGACTAAACACCAAAGACAATAACAAAGAACTCGTGATGAATGTTAAAAAGAACAATCCTTCACTCCCTTAATGTCTTCAGTGATGCCACACCGAGTGCCCTCACCCCGTGACCTCGTTATGCACACCCAGTCAATAATGCAGAGTGCTCTGATCAAGACAAAGCTGGAGGAGCAACGTGAGAATTATCGTAAACGTCAGGAACAACAGGCACAACAGATGCACTCACATCAGCGTATAACGAGTCCAGTGAATTCGCCATCTAAACAGATGCTGAGTCCAACACCACTGGCATTTACACCCACCTCAGTACTACGTAAAATGACAGCTGAGAAGGAGCCTGAGGGTGCGAATAATTATCAACGTCATAATATCGAAATTATCGTAACACCTGCACGCAAACTGAATCGTTACAATCGTAATCGCACTCGTAATAATAATGATGATAACAAGGAGAGTAGTGAGAATACAATTGGGGGTAAAGAGAACAATAAGCAGATTATTAAATCCACACGATCTGGTGTACTATCTGAGATGAATAATAATGAGGAACAGAATAGTGAAATTGCACTTAAATCTAAATATGTGGGTCAGAAGGAGAGTGATAAGGGAAAGGATTCCCTCGGTGATGATAAACAAAATTTGGAGGTAGCCATTTTGGGTGACAATAATAACCAACCCGATGTTGTTGTCAATTCAGTTGTTAGTGAGGATGATAACAAAAATACGATAATTATTGGTGACGTTTAAAGAGTCGATTAGAAAAGAATATTCTAAATTATTTGAATATGAATAATATGAGGGACTTTTTTTTCATTTTTGAGAGATTTTTTTATACGATTTTGATAAGATAACATTCATACTCGAATACTGGCAATTCGTATGAGATAATTTTCTTTATTTTTTTGGTTCATTTCCTTCATGATTTCCTCATGATTTTTTTTTCACATGCTTGATCGTGACTATGTGGGCATGACACTTATTACGTTTTTTTGCACTCCATCTTTTTTGCTTTACTATCTTTACACTTTTTTTCATTTATGGTAATCATTCATTATGATGCAGTAGGGAGCTTGATTGGTCTTCACATAGTGATTTATATATGATTTATATTGAATAATGCAATTTTCTATGATCTATCTATGATGAAACATATGTTTAATGCTGGCTTTTACAATAAAACGCTTTATCTTGACATTCCCATACTCACGATGCTTTCCTCTGCTTACTATCCTAGCTTTTTTGCACGACTTTTTTTTAAGCATGAGCGTTAATTTACGATAAATTGAAAGGAGAAAACGAGATCAAAAGATTCCTAAGTATCTGGTAACAACAGGAGATAAAGTCTGAAATTCAAAAACTTGTGACGAAAATGGTTGTCGAGAAAAATATTAGGAAACCTTCTTTCTGTTTACGAAAATTGTCTAAAAAAATAGTTTTGATTATATTTTTCAAAACCTTGTCTTTCTATATTGGCTGCACTGCGAGAAATATCGACATAATATCACAACTAATTTCTTGCATCAAATATCTCATCTCTTGAGGGGCAACAGAATGCCGCTAATTTTCCAAATTTTTGAACAAATTTTCTACCGAAAGTTATCGATATTTTTACAAATCGAAGCACATTAATCTCCAAGAGGCGATGATGAAGATCAATGTGCTTTGGGTTCAAATAATATTAATAACTTTGAACAGGAAATTAGTTTGAAAATTTCGAGGAAACGGCGGCTTCTGTTACCCCTTAAGGATAAACAGCTTAGGATAAGAATTTGGCATAATAAGTCAGACCGTGGAAGAATCCTGTGAAATGTTCATGACTTGAACACTAACCCTTGGTGATAAAATGAGAATTTCTTGTCTCCAGAAATCGTCCTTTATTTTGTGAATGAATGTTCATTTCAAAAGATGAGAAAATTCCTAAAAGTACTAAAAGCTTCGATTCAGTGAATCATTGATTAGAGACTTTCATATTGAATCAATACAGAATTTATGCAAGGGAAAACCTTTAGATCTATTTAAGATATAACCGTCACTTGCTCTCAATCACAATGAGTTCGAAGGAAAGCAATAACATATTTCCCTTCTCTTAAACTTACTTTGTCAGTTCAGGAATATTATCTAATTTCCAGAAAAAAATATTATTTTTTCATTCAGTATCATCCTCCTTTTGTCCGAAGAGCACCGATTTCTTATCTGAAACCTACCATTAATTGATCGAATATGCATGCCACGTTCTCCACTCCAGAAATTATTTTTGTCATATTATGTTGATTTTTCTCTCAATGTGGTATTAATTTTGGTACTAAAATGATGACAATGAGGCAAGTCGAAAAATTTCATAACACTTATTTAGTAAATGTTCTGGGAACTATTACATTCAGCAAAAAACATTATAGAATCTATTCTTTAGTTTATAAAATTCATTGTAAAGAAGGTATCTCGATAAGTTTCTATAAACATTTCCTCTTGTACAAAAAAATCTGCTCTCCTGAAATACCGAGCTTTTCGTGTTACATTAAAAAACGAAAATGTAAATGGAAATGATTAACTATTGCTTCTAACTGTTTACAATAGTTGAACTTGAATTGATTCAATCGAACAACTAATTATAAGAGAGGGAATTAAGAGGTAAGATGAAATAAAACGAATAATCTCTGAATGTAGGAAGCGCAGAAGTATCAAAATTGGCAGCACAGAGTCAGGCGAGTCAAATGCAGCAGATGCAGTCTGCAGTGCAGTTGTTAGCCCAGGGTTTATCAAGACAACAGCAACAGGGTACAGTAAGACCACAAGCGAATCAGCAGCCTGCTTGGTCGAATCAGTCGGTTAAACAGCATCCTGGTACGAAAATTGTCCTCTTTCAAGTCGTCATTCATTCGAAAATCAATTAATTCAGTATTGAAATGGTGAAACTTCATGACCGGAGTTATTGCTTCTTGTTTGCGTAAAAATCATTTCAATAATGAGTGATTTTCGAGGAAAATATAAAGACCCTTATCGGCATACTTCAACAGAGGCACAGTATTTCTTGATAAAATGGCTTATTAGACAATGGATTCTATTTATTTTTTGATACATGTAATGTTTTTATTTACATGATAAATATATTAAATTCTACCAAGTCAGAATGTACCATCCCAACACTTACGCTTTGTGCAATCTGAATTTCACATTGTACCATTCAAACTTGTAAATTCTCAATTTATTGTGCTCAATTCGGTATAGATAATTTGAGTATCTATAATTCGTTTCAATTGGAACATTTGTAATTAGAATGTGAGGATTACAATTTCTGTATATAAACAAGGTCTCAGCACAAAATTTCAATTGTGTGAAAGAAATTCTCTGTTGGTGTTGAAGTCTGCCTATTTTTCGTGGAAAATCACAGGAAATAGCTCCCAAACAAGCGAAGCCTCTTATAATTTCCACATGATTATAAATAAATCTTATCGACAGCTGGCAGACCAATAGTGAAGGGAGTAGCAGCTACGCAATTTCCATACGGTGGACCACCGAATTTCCAGTCCCAACCACCTCAGTCCCAGCTACAGCAGCAGCCAGCACCTGTATCATCAGTCCAACAACAGAATCAATCATTGCGGCCATCACCGGGTATTTACGGTAACCCGGCACGTTCGAAACACACGATGCCGACATCCCTTCCACCTCCAAATGTTCCTCAATACAATGTATCGCCAAATTCTGTAATTAGCCAAAGAACTAATATAATGAACAATCAGAGCAAGCAGCAACTGGTCCAGACACATTTCGCTAATATATTACAGCAGCAACAGCAGCGTAATGTCAATTCACAAGTACAACTCGTCTTAAACCAAAACTACAATTCTAATCGAACAGGTAATTCCTGCTGTAATGAGACAAACCATGAATTCTATTGTTTTTTTTTATTTTATCAATTTTTCTTTCGTTAATTATTACTTCTTCAAGTTTCTCGATATAACGACTGACTCTAGAGGGAAACAATGAGAGATCTTTTTTCTGCATTTTTTCACCTTTATTATGATAATGATATTACATTTAACGTGATTGATATCAATGGTTCATTGAATAATCTTGGAAAAAATTATACTAGGATAAAGTATTGAGAGGAGCTTGTTGTCGCTCAACATTTCATCCTAAAATCGATCATTTCCAAGATAACTTTATTATAGTCAAGAATTTGAATATTCGACTTGTCTAATTTTGCTTTATTTTTTAGTTATTTTTAACCTCTCTAGTTTGAATTAATAATTTACATTAACAATTTCGTAAAAATCTGTAACTCTTACAGATGACTCAGTGAAAAAAGATATTGCATGCAATGGTCACCAGAAACTGGCATTGAATAATCCCTGAGGCCTGTTTTCCCATGTCCAAAACCTCCGAACAACTCCTAAATCACCAGTACAGCATCTTCTAATATGATTTGAGCCCTTCATGATTAAGTGTAAGCTGTTTCCCAATTGCTCCTTCCCCAATTATTTGGCATGAAGCTTCGATTTAATCATGAAGAACATTAGCTTTTTCACTACGAAATACTTCATTTCAAACATGCCCTTCCATTTTTAATCCTCAGACGGCCGAATAATGCGACCACAACAGCAGCCAATGAACATCTCAATGGGAAGACAATCTTCACCAGGTAGCAACGGTGGAAGTCTATCACCAACATCAAATCAACTAGCCAGATGGTTCAGTCCAGAGCTACTTGCTAAAGCAAGAGCTGGAAAACTACCAGAGCTTGGTCAAACAAATGTTTTATCATTGGAAGAATTGGAGCGACTGCAGCAGGCCTCGGCTGCAGTGCATGACTAAATCTAATTTTTATTTTTCTCCGATAGAATGAACAAGCTCAAACAAAGTGAGAATTAATTTTTTTTTATTTTAATGAGAATTGAAGGGAGCAAAGTGAGCAAAAAAATTATCGAATCATCAGTTCTTCGATCGATGAAAGATAAAGTAAATGATCAAAAAGAGGATCATAAATTACGGGAAAATCCAGTTTTATACTGCATCCACGTACATCACGTGCGTGAGTGTTCCACACTGGAATTATTGTTTTAGACTGTATTTATCGAAAAGACTGGCAAACTTGTTTCGTCCTGGCTGAAAACAAAACATGAAGAAATATGTTTAGAGACGAAACATTGGACACAACCTTGAAGATCACAGATTTAAATGAGCAATCAATTAGTAACTGGGAAATATGCAAAAAGCAGAAATGGCCAATTCCCCTCGGCGCCATCAGAGCCAAATCGAAGTGGAAGAAGTGTTTAACAATGAGAAGTTTGAAGAAGAAAAAAACGATCTCCAAGTCACACGCATATGAATATTAACGATAAATAATATATAACTTTCTAGAAATACAGAACGGGAATTACAGTGTTATCGCGATTTTTCGGAGAGAACAAATGAAAAGGCATAATGGACTTAAGGAATCAAAGAGAGATGGAAAAGTATGAATGACGCATTGGAAAGAATTATTAAAAAACTAGGGTTGTGAAGATTGATGAGAATAATTGAATGTTGAAAGAGGGAAACGAATTTGATGAAAGAAGAAAAGAAATATTTCACACGTGGAAGTGAGAATTCAAGTTGTTTGTTTTTCATGAGGAATATTTCTTCATTTTCAGAAATTGTTACACTCACTTTTAATTTTTCACTCTCTAATCGTTCCTAAAAAACATAACGACCATTGCGTTTCATCGTTATTTTCATCATTTATTTTTATATAAATAATTATATCTTTGAATTGCGGTGAAAGCCCCTGCAGAATTAATGAATTCAAACGATCATGATTACTAGTTTGTTCTTATTTTGTAAAATTCGTTTCACATAAAAATTTTTTGGAGAGATGGAATGAGGAGATTAGTGTACTTTTTTTTTAATTCCATGGAACGTGAAAAGCAATGAAGGTGGTGATAAAGGACCTATGAAATTGCTGCATATTTTGATTTGAAAAATACAATTTAATTTCTTCCTTCCATTCCTCCGTATTGAATTTATAATTTTTTCCATTTTCTCTTCATAAAAAAATGAGGCATTGTTAAAAAAAAGTTTTCAGTGTGAACGCGTTAATGACACCTCTCATTGATAGTATTGTTGACATAATTATTATCAGTGACACATGGAAAAATAATAAATGAAGGAAATATTCTCCCCTGCACAAAGAAAGTCATGAAAATAAAAGAAAAGCCTCAGATTGAAGAGCGATTTCCTCGTTTTTTTTCTGATTTCAATTAAATTGAAGAGAATGGGAATTTGATCAGTACAATAAAGATATAGATATCTCGAGATACTCAAAGAGCCTGCCGGTTCTTCACATTCATCGTTAAACGATAAAAAAGAAATAAAACCACTATTGTTCTGGAAACAGAAAAATGCATTAAACTCAATTTTTTTCCGTTTGACAATTTTTTGTTCTTAAATATCGGAATTGTTATTTAATAAACCTCACAAAGCATCACGAACCAATAATTTTGTGACCTGATTAGAGAGTAAACAAATGAAATTTTTTTTATTATTTCCGTTGAATGAAACAAAACGTTGAAAAATCATGGTTAATGCTGTGTTCTGAGTATGTCATTGGGTCTTGAAGCGTGAAAAAGAAAGAAATTATAAAACAAAATACAACTTTTGTAAATAATGAAATTCAATGACAAGAAAAATGCAACAAAAATCCCAAAAAATAAACAAAACAAGGGGAAAGAAGCGGATAACAGGCCAATTTTATCATTGCATGTACCGGCTCGATATTTTGTAAATAAAGTTATTAAGCGTAAACTGTGGCAAACAAATGAATGAAAAAAATTACGATAAGAGGAGTAAAAATTCAACACACATTGCAAAAAAAAACATTGAGAACGCAAGATGAGAACCCCTGCTCCTGGAACTCTCATTCGTTCTTTCTTGGCGGCCGAACGTACCCCCACCCATCCTTTCCACCCCCCTTAAACGACAGGGACAAGTCTGAACTTCACTTGTCACAAAATGGCGGAACTGCACTGGACGCGGCAAGATATCTCTGTCCAAAAATCTGAAAAATACGGATAATAATCGACCGACAAAAACCTCCCTAAATCAAATCGGAAATAGTTTGTCCGTGTTTCATCCTCCATTGATCTCCGTGACCACAATTTCAGTTTTCTTTAATTCTCTGTCACCTACAAAACTCATCCTCACTGTGCGACGGCAGACGGTCAGAATCCTTCAAATCTCCTCCGCTCAAACACACCTAACTTACCTAAATCGCCTGAAAATCCTTACCACGACATGCATGAACCCTTACTCCATCCACAGGCATTACTTCGCTCCGAGAACATCTCCAATTCGATGGCAAATGTATGGTAAGTGAAGGTGAGTAAAAAAGTAAATCAAAAGGAATTAAGAAACAGACGAACTAATTTTTCTCTCGTCAAGCCATCGTAGAAGAAAAAAAACAAATGAGAGGTCGCTATTAACATTCGTTCGACCCATTCGTAGTGTTCTTTTCAGTGGTGCGGGCACTCAATCCTGTTCCAAAACACAACACTGAATTTCGTGGAAAAAATGGGATCGGATTACGTTCCTCGATGAAATCCGAGTAGATGTTGTTCATACATGATAACGAAACTGAGAAATTGTAACCGAATCCGTGAATTATGCGTACCATTCTCGAAATCGTAGTACGAAGGAGAAAAAAGTCGAGAACCAATAGTGAATTTCCAATGAAATAAATGTCAACGGCAGCCATTATGTGCAGATGGGATGATCGTAACACCCTTTTGGGCCAGCGTTCGTTGTTAGAATCAACGTCACAAGGAAGATTTGCGTGACAGTGTGAGTCCTTTTTCATGGGTTCTGGTTGTCATCCTAGGGGCTAGAGTAGTTCTAAGAGATGTAACGTACTAAGTGAGTGGACACTGATAAGACGGTACAACTTGTATTGTGAAGTGAAATAAAAGTATTTGATGATAGGAACCGTGGGAATTGAGGTATGTTAATGTCAGTAATGAAATAATGAAGTTGTGACGAAATGTTTAGATTAAAATTCTTTCCAAAATTCCTTGAATTGTAGAATACTCATTAGATCCTCTAGTATTACTCATTACACTTTCATATTGGATCCTACCTACGACACATTGATCCGTGGTGACGTACCTCTACAGAAAAAGTCCAGAAATAATCGCAGCGAGCGACCCATCAATTCATTGGACATTACTATGGACATTGATAGTGTACGACATATTCACGGGGGGGCGTGTTTGAACCTCGGTAGGACGAGATGAAATATGTGAAATAAATCACATCGTTGTGTTGAGTATGTGCCCATCATCAGCGTGAATTAAACATTTGAGCAACGATATCCAAAGTTGCTCAAGACCATCTTTATCGTCAAGTTTAGGGTAAGAATGTGAGTAGTACTGAAGAGTGAAAAAATACTTTGAGAAAATTGAGGTCTTGAAATAACTGAATGTCGGAAAACTAGATTAATTTAGCTCATGTCAAAGCAACTGAGCAAATTGGTGCCTGATGACCGAGTCATAATTGTCGAGCCTGAAAATCAATGAAACATGTGTGCCTACGCATTGTCGGAGCGTGATACGGATCTTGTGAAAATGTGGCCGCCATTTCGTGAAGTTGGTAAAGCACATCGTGACTAGATCCAACTAGATTCCTCCTCAAAACTCCATTTGTACACCTCAAAGTCTCAAGATACATTAGATACTGGGCCTTGCAAGATCCCAAATGCCTTGAAATACAGGAAATTCATCGACAAGACGCAAAATCATAAAATACGTTTCATCCAAATCTTCGCCACGAAGTATCACCTAGTACAATAAATAACGATTAATTTATTATAAAATCTGTACGATAGTCCGTCGTGTTCCGGTGGCGCTGTTGCAGCCCTACCATCCGGATAGCCATAGGTTGTCCGAAACCAACGGGGAGGGGCGAGAACCGAGCATTCGCTCGGCATTAGTAGAAGCGTGAAGCAGGATTTGTGCTGCTGAGCATAATCTAGTATCGAGAAAGCTTTAAAACTGTGATAAATCGTGATTCATCAAGCGTTAAATCAATAGTTATAATCCAGCTTCTGCGGCCAACAGAGAAACGGTGGGTAAATGGCTATAGAAACAATAGTAAAACGTTACAAGAAAAAAGAACGCATGGGCTTGCACGTGAGACGTTGAACGCCAGCGAGATCTATCGTTGGTGAGGCACAGTATTCACCATCTGCTTTCAAGACCCCCCGACCACCTTGTGCCGCGGTAATATCCTCAGTATGACAAAGACGGTACGATCCGCCTTAGGTTCGAGACTCCCTTTTATTCGAAAAGGAAGAGAGGAGATGTGTAGCAATTTCGAGGGGTAAGCGATAGGAACAGCCTGAAGTCCTGGAATTTCGTGGGTTCCTTTCCTTCACTCTCGTTTGTCACTTTTTCCTTTGCACTGGCACTTTGTGCAGACTCAGGACTATTGCGTAATTTCTTCCACTTGTCCAATTATTTGGAGATCGATGAGAGGTTAACTTGCCATTTTTTTGACTTCCATTTTCGCACGTGGTTGGCAATTTATCGGGTGATTGACCGTGTTCGGGTGCGGTAGGAAGCGCGTAGGTAGACGTGTAAAGTGTTCAAGCCATTGTTATTGATAAGGAATGTGCGCCGAGTGATATGACTTCGTGGGGAGAATCGATACCGAGGTGAATAATAGTGAAGACAAAAAAAATGTATGAAATTTAGAAGAGAAATGAAGTGTGATACGTCCGTTGAATTGATTTTACCATTTTTTCTCTAGTCAATAATTGACGAAAAAAATTAAGGACTATGTTCACTCAATACTTTTACGGAATAATGAGCGTAATAGAGGCATGTGAAAATGACAATGTCCATGATAGAGTTCATTGCATTGAAATTCGACAATTGACAAGCGCTGAGGATAGCAAACGTTGAGAACCACGAAGTCCGATGGTTTATGTATCCAACGTTTGAAGCATAAAGACACATGAAGAACCAGTTGAGCACCTCGACTCGGCCTGACCGTTCCTGCGAGACACGGACACGAGGCTAACCGAAATTGAATGTACGGATGTAGACATAATTTATGTGAGGGATGAGTGACTTCACTATTCGGCATGTTTATTGGTTTACCATTTTTTCGCTGGCCATTCACATCCTAATTATTGCTCACATGCAGTTGATAATGAAGACCTCATGAGGAGATAAGGAGAATCATAAAATGAGCATCAAAAGTGACGAAATATGCAAATAAAAAGTTGAATTTTTGCATTTTATTTCAAGATGATAAAATGTTGGACCGATCAGACCCAGTTGTCTGTCTTTTACGTAATAATTCGTGCGATCTTTTTGATAGTCATGGGGGAACGTAGGATGGAGTGGTTTTGCAGCACCCACCAACATTGTTTTGTTAACAATAATGGAATAAAATAATTTCAAGATCATGAAGTTTTCAATTGTTAATTTTTCATTAATGTGCATTAGGGAAACATTTAAACAATTCGATATTGGCACATGCGCGATTCTGGGAATTTCTTATGAAATATACAGGTTTCATTGACGCATGTCGTCAAGCCATTCGGACATTTTGCGATCGACTCCTCTTGTTCCGCCTAAATGAGCGAAATGATTTCACGTTGATAGTGAATTTGCATTTTTTCAATTTCATTGAGGTGTAGGTGGAATGCTGATGGTGCACAGCTAATTAACGGATAGTCGACAATGTATTCAGGTCGTAACGTGTGCCGACGATAGATTTGCGGTGTTGCATAAACGAAATTCTAGTTCATTAGGCTCATTGTGAGCAATTTTTCTACATCCAACATTGGAAAATTTATCAAATAAATAAAAGTACGCTTAAACATGAATGAAAATGAATCGATTTCCGACGCAGGTGACATTACAAATAGGAGGATAAGATGGACGACTACGAGAAGAAGTTTGCAGAGATGCAAAAGTACATTCCCTTCCTGGAGGCAATGATTGAGAGACTTCAGAAAGTAACTGATAAGTCTCGTGAAGTACAGTTGCACAAAATGCAGCAACTTCATGGAATACTGACGGACAGCAAGAGAAAGTATGTTCATTCAATATCGGAAATGAGAAAAAAAAATGCATCACAGTAATTAAAGAATCTTCATATGAAACCCATAAAATTTTTAATCAACCAGAACGTATGCAGAATTCATTGAAATTCCAAATGTCCAGTAATGAAAATTTGTACACGTCAACTGCTGCTCTCAAAGTATTTTCCACTGTGTTTTTAATGTTTCATTCCTTCAACCTGCATACGTTTTGTTTTTTTGTTTTTATTTTGCATCATAATTTCTTCACTACAGTCATCATATTACAACTGCAGAAATTTCGCATGCTTGGATATTAAATGTATATTCCTGACAAAATGTTAATTTTATTACCCTGACCGAATTTTTCTCCTTTCGTTCTATGTTAATCTATATTTCAACAGGTTGAGGATTGAAACACTCCAAAAATGTGAAGATGTGCTTCAGAAACTGCACAGTAAAGTTGAAAAGGTATGTATCAACCCTCATCGACAGTAGTTAGCAATATTTGCTGATTGCTGGCATTGCAATTGAATATTGCACTGAAAATCAATGAGCGATTGTGCTACGTTTTTCTGCATCATTCGCTCTTTTGTCTTCAGTGCAATGATCTGCAAGCAATTGTACTTGATCCCCGCTGTATTAGGCTGTTCAATACTTAGCAAAGAAATGACTATTCATACTGTAGTTATTGGATCATGATAGTGACAGCAAATTTTATTTTAGTTTTCTTTAGTAAGCTTCTGCTAGGCTTGAATCTACTCCCTTCACAATTTGTATTATTTTTCTTTTTATTCTTCAGTTTATTTTTACGAAAATTTCTTTTATTTCAGGCTTTAGTAGTGCATGTCTTGTAGTTGTAATTTAATATTTCTAATTCGACACGAGTTTCAGGGAACAAGCGCTGGTCTGAATTTCCCTAGTAGTAAGAAAAGTGAAGAGCCGACGGTATCAAAAACGTGAGTTTTCATCGTCATAAAATAAAAAAATTAGCAACCCTAAATTTGAATAGCTGATAAATGCGAGAGTTGCATTTTCGTATTTCCAGTAAGCCAGTGACACCATTGGAAGTTAAACTACCGAGAGAAGTAGAAAAATCCAAAGAAAAACCGAAGGAGATGGACGAAACACCAGCAAGTCCGAGTCCACCAGCATCACCAGATGAGCAACCAAAGAGTACGTCGGCTCCAATAATCATTCCCACCGAGCGCAAGCGAGATTATTCATCAGGGAAAATTGACAGTAAACCATCGAGTCCTGATCAGATTGAGCGAGTGTCCACAAAGCAACCAATTATCATTCCCACCGAGCGTAAAGGTGAATCTTCCAACAACTTCGTGGATAACAATTCTCTAGCCAAGGCGAGGAATGATAAGTCATTGAATAATGCATTCGTAGACTCTAGAAATGCATCAAATTGTCGACACATCCCTACAGTGACAGTTTCCACGAAATTAGAGACTCAGAAACAAATAAGATTGACATCCCCAGAGTGTCGATCACCGAGATCAAAGGAGTTCTTATCCCCCTCGAAGAGCGCCAAACCCCCGGTGCCACTGTTAATCTCGCCTCCTCGAGTTTTAACCGAACCTCCGCTATCTATGGACGATTTAGCTGAACTTCTGAATGACGGTTCAGACAATAATCCCGGGAGCAGTAATTTCACGATTCTGATTAGCGATAAAAATTCCTCTAACCCTATTAAGCCCGAGAAAATTCGCATTTCAAAAGGTAAGCCGTCAGAGAACTCTAATAAACCTGATAAGGAACATTTAAAATCATTTGTTCTGACTCAAGAGGACATAGACAGAGAGAGCAATCGCCGTTGGGAAGAGCGAGATAAGCACATTGTCCTGTACGGTCGCAAGGGCCTTCAAGCCGATGGAAAACCTCTGCCCACACCTCAGTCGGAGCATTCCTCAGTTCCATTAATAACAACCGCACCTAAGAAGCCAGAATTTCGGAATAGTCCTATGTCACCAGTGGGTAAAGACAGAGGTTCTGAGCCAAGATACGCAGACAATTACGAGAGAATACCTCGGCACGTGACAGATCGTTTCAGCAACGTTGCTGACCAGCCAAAAATGCCGGACATTAATGTCATTAACAGTGCCTTTTCACGTTTGTCTGAGGGGGACAAGGCGAATCTCGCTAAACTCCAAACGAATTTGCCAATTTTACACCAGCAGACTGAGAATCATACGTCTGCGGAGGAGAGAGATGTGTTCTCTCGGCGCGGGGGTGCTCCACAGATGGACATGGATATGGAGTACCGTAGAGACGAGGAGTATTACATGCAGAGGCCAATCCATCCGTCCCAAAATCGAGAATATTACAATCCTCAATGGGGAGGATATGAGCATAAACCCCAGCAGATGCCTGGGCATCCGTATCCACACCCTCCAAATCATCCGCAAAATCTTCCCCCCCACCATCCAAATCACCCTTCGAACATTCCCAATCACCCCCATCAGAGCCACCCAGACATGTGGATGGGCCCAAATCCAGGACCTGGCCCCATAGACCACCCAGTACACCACATGTCTCCTCAGTACAGTCCGAATCTCGTTCGTCGACCCATGATGAGTCCCCCTGGCCGTATAGAACTGAGCCACGGCCCTTACGGAGATCCAAATTTCCCCGAGGATATCGGCCACTCACCCCAACCCCCTGCCCCTCCTGTTATTCCGTCATTAATGTCCACTCCACCATTCAATCCTCGAGGATTTCCTGAGAATCGAGCATTCGAGGCGCCCTTCGAGCGCCCTGCAGAGTTTGGCCTGAACATGAGACCGAATCCGTGGGAAGGCCATCCTGGGGATCCAAATTATCCTGAGCCTTCGAGAGTCAGAGGGCCAGAGGTTTCTTACAATGCTCCCGTCCCTCCAGGTCCTCCCAGCTGGAACAGAGGTCCTGGGCCTGATCTCCAGCCCATTAGGAACCGCAGTGTCGAGAGATTCCCTGGTGACAGGGCCACCAACAGACCTGCGCTCACTGACCCCCAGCATCCTGGATTCAATCGCCGAAGTGAATGGGATCGACCGGGACCGACCGAGAATCCCCCGAGATTTAATCGCGAAGGGAGAAATGTCTCTGAACGAGACCCGAGGTTCAGGAAGGATCAAAGCCCTCAGGGAGCCAACTCTCCAAATGCCACTTCTGCTAAGAGGGATCCCAGATTGGTTAAAGAGCCTGCACAACCTGCAGCTTCGAAATCAAAAGAAAATTCAGTGACAAATCGAGATCCTAGGAGGAGAAATTGTGATTTAATAAATCAGAACAAACCGATCATCTCATCCAAAGCCCCACGAAACAAGAACAAATCTAAAAATTTTGCAAAACAAAAGGAATCAACAAAATCCACTGATATCAAAGCGAGAAAGTCTTCCGATGAAAAAATAAGCACTGATAAATTGATCAAAGATAAGGAAACTATGCAGTCACCTCTGGAGAGCCTTTACGGAGTTATTGACACGACAGCGAAGACCGGAAAAGGTTATGGTCTTCAAAAGTTCAAAATTCCAAAAATAAAGAGAACTGATCCCCCAGTCCCTCCCCGCCCACCAACCCCTCCAAAACCCAGTGCTGCAGTTGAACTCGAAAGTTGGGACGAAGAGCCTCCACCAAAGCCCGCTGAATCTGTCAAATCACTTTCTGCGGAAGCTGATAAGACTGTAAAAGTCGAGGAGAAGAAAATGGAGGTGTCAAGCACAACCGACGAGCCCGCGGTACTCTCGGCAAAGACAAAAGCCAACGATCGCGATCTAAAAGTATCAGAAGCAGAACCTACGGTATCTAATCATGTGTCAAAGAAGTGCGATAAGGTGGACGAGTCGGAAGCAACAGTTGACACATCAACTCCCGCAAAAATTGCTGACACATTGAGTACAACCACTGCAACCGCAAAGGAGACTCCCAAGGAAGAAGAACCGCCGACCTTCAAGAACGAAATTACTCGCGAGTTAATTGAGAAAATGATCAAAACGTCCTTAGAACAAGGAGAAGGGAAAAAACTTCTAGAACAAGCAAAATTACTTCAAAAATTGGGCGAGGGCCTAGCACATTCCAAGAAATTTAAGAAAATCCGAAAGATTATTGAATCTCAATCAGACAGCAGTTCTTCAGACACGGAACAAATAATCGAGCCGAAGAGAATCGGTAAAAAGAAACGAAGGGTGATTGTATCTGATAGCTCTGATGATGCTTCACCAGAGCGTAAAAGTCCAGAGGTTCCCGAGATCGATTTTCAAGAGAAGCCCAAAACTCCCAAACGAAGAGCAAGGAAACCTCGACAATCAAAATCCCCGCGATTCAAAGGGAAACCCGTACCTGAAGAAGACAAATCTGAAGAATTGAAAGAATCTGTAAATGACTCGAAAGAATCTGTAAATGACTCGAAAGAATCTGTAAATGACTCGAAAGAATCTGTAAATGACTCGAAAGAATCTGTAAATGAATCTAAAGAATCTGTAAATGACTCGAAAGAATCTGTAAATGAATCTAAAGAATCTGTAAATGACTCGAAAGAATCTGTAAATAAGTCCAAAGTATCTGTGGATGACTCGAAAGAATCTGTAAATGACTCGAAAGAATCTGTGAATGACTCTAAAGAATCGGTGAATGCGCCTGAACAACCTTTAAACGACTCAAAAGAACCGGAACAAGAGCCTGAGCCAGAACGAGAGCTAGAATCCCCAGCGTTAAAACCTCGCAGAAAGCCTGCTCGTCGGCGCAACTCCCTGGAGATGCTGCAGGAGGACATCCGCGAAATGTTTATCAGCGAAGGAGTAGTAACTGCCACGGGTCACAGGATGTGCCGCTTGATAAAGGAAGCAGAAGGTAATTTAAAATCAGTTGGTGAGAAAGTGAAAGGTATTTATGTTTCGAGTTCCCCAGAGCGCCATGACTCGGAGCTATCTGAAGACGAAGTTCTCCCGAAGCGCCGTAACAGATCAAAGAGCAAAACTCCAAAACCCCGAGAGGTCCCGGATGATGACAAACCCAAACCCCGAATAAGAAGAACTCGAAAACGAGCAGCCAAATTGTCAAAACAATACGTGAGTAGCTCTGACAGTGACTCGAGGCCGAATCGTTTGCGCGAGTCGTCATCGCGCAGAGGGACGCCAGAGCCCTCTAAAGACCCCACAGACGCTGAAACACCGCGGGAAACTCCCGCCGATGAGCCCGAAGGTACTCCGACTCTTCGAAGAAGTGAAAGAGTCAGCTTGAGAGAGCCTAGAGTAATGATAGAAAAAACAGATTTGGGAAAAATCGACTCATCGAAAATAATGTTCGATACATCCTCAGACGAGAGTTTCGGAATCGACGTATCAGAGTTGACAGCAGCTGTAGACATCTCACTGCACTCTGAGCGTCAAAAACGATCCGATGACGACACAGAGGCAATGATGAGCATAAAAAAGCTCGAGGAAAAACCATCAAAAACGAAAAAACGAATTTCTGATGAACCGAGAGCCGATATTGCGAGTAAACCCGATGATGAAGCCACTGGCGTGGCTTCGGATGACGCTTCAATTTCAAGCGGTCACGCCTCTAGCGTCAAGAAACTAACAACAACTTCCGAGCCTTCTAATACAAACGAAGAACTGATAAAAAACATTCTTGGTGATTTCGTTAATGATAAAAATGAGGAGTCAGAAAAATCAATTGACAAAGAGAGTGTCATGGAGGCTGAAAAAGAGATCGTACAGCCCCGCAAGATCATCAGAAGAAAAAAACCAGCACTACCCAAGCGGAAGAAGAAACGTAGAACTTGGCAAATGGGAATTGTCTCAAAATCAAAGAAGAACAAGAAAACCCCAATTGCGCGTTCTCCCACAGTTCCTAAACCCTCTCTCGCTCCTCTAACCCCCTCAGAGCCTCCCAAGGAGGATGCAGAGTCACAGGAAAATGTCGAGCCACCGATTGTCCCACCACCGAAGCTCGAAAAGGTCGACATAAAATCGAAATCCAATGAATCCCCAATTAAATCCACCATCAAACGAGAAAAAGACGATTGCGAACCGTTTTTAACCCCTGATCGAAAAAGATCGTGTTTCAAAACCGAAGATTTAATTGAATACGCATGGACTGGACAGGAAAAATACAAATGTCTATTCTGTAGCTTCAGTGGGAAAAACATTGTTCACCACTACAAGGCAGTCCATCCAAAGGACGAGATGATGATATCGAGACTGACGTTACTCGATGCAAAGCGAGCAATTGACGAATCCAAGGACGAGATGTTGCTAGAATTATCGGAAAAGACAAAAGTGGGCGCCGATCGTAAATACGCCTGTAGATTCTGCGTATTTACGGCAGAGGGACAAAAGGAGTCAGCAATGGAGACTTTCTACGAACACTGTACAACCCACACTGGCGAGTACAGATTCCGATGTCGAAGTTGCACCTATCAAACACCCCTCAAGTCATCGATGCGCGCGCATTATTACAAAGTTTGTCGTAAGAATTACGAGAACTTTACTCTGGCAGTTGATGAGGATCTACTGCCCGACGAGGATCTTGTTAACGGCTATCTGTGCTCTCTGTGTAATTTTATTCAACTGAAAGAGGAAAATGTTAAGAAGCACATTGACAAGTATCACAAGGACGATCTGGCGACTGAAATTATCAAGATTGATATGTCAATTTATCTGGACCTTAAAAATCATGGCGAGCATTCTGACATTGAGGATGAATTGAGGAGCGAAGACCCACTAGCTCCTGACTCTGACGCGTCTACAGTTGACCTTTACGAATATACTAAACAGAAGAGAAAAAAGATGACGATAACGAGAGGGAAAGTTGAAAATACTTCCAAGAATACAGGAACTAAAGAAACTAACGTTTCGTCCCTTTCGAAATCAGGCGCTCCACAGGGGGAGGTCGAGAGCCCTCTCAGCAGGAAGCTCAGCGCATTTGTGTGCCCTCCAGAAATAGAGAACAAAGATGTGGAGATTCAAAGGGAGCGACAAAAAACTATGCAAGAGCTGTGGAAAAATTGTGGAACAAATCTCCAGAACAAATCTACGCGTGAAGGATTATCAATCATTGATAAACTCACTGACAAGATGAGGACGCAGGGGACGGAATCCGAAGGAGGTATGGAGTTGGAGGGTGGGGATGAAATCGATGAGTCACAACACAATGTACTGCCCCCCGTAAGGCCCGAAGAGAATAACGACGAACGCACCGATCCCACCCCTGAGAAACCCTCTGAATCAATTTCTGCGCCGCTTTCAGACGTTGTTCCTCCCCAAACAATAACAAAAGTCGAGCACTCAGATCATGAAATGAGTCAAGAGGAGGAAGAAACAGATAAATCTGAGAAAAAACCGAGAGACCCGCTGATGTCTCTCGAGGAAACACCCAAGGATTTCAATAGCGCAGAGGAGACGAGTGATGGGGAACAAATGGGCGAAATCAGCAGAACTTATGACGAATCCAGTGACACTAGTGACGGGATTTCAGACTCTGAACTCGCGACAGACGTAAACACTCTTCTGAAGGAAACAATAACCACATCAACAAACGCTCCAATGATGACAACAATCCAAAGACTTGCTGCTCAACTTCAAGGATCAAAATCCACTGAGAATTCTCCCACAAAGCCAGAGACCTCAAAACCGATAGTAGTTCCCCTCTGTAATCTCCGAAGTTTTGTGGAAAAGCAGAAATTACTGGAGAAATCCCAAGAGGTTCCAGACTCAGATACATCTCGTTCAAACACCCCCAAGAATTTTATTCGTCTACGAAGACTCAGTGGGGACAAGTTGTCCTCGGGAACCCCAATACCTGAGCCACCTCCCTCCGCCGAAGAGGAAAAATCTCAAGAATTCGTCCCTCTCCAAGTGATTCCTCAACCGATTGAGCGCCAAGAGGGAGAGTGTTCATTCCTAAAGATTGAAAATGTGATAAGCCTAGCGCCAAACACATCCTCAGACCCTGAGAGTCCGCTCATCGACGACATAAGAAAAGCAGTTGCCACATCTCCAATGAAGAATATTGGAATTTCAGTCCTCAAGAAATCCAGTCCAAACATTTTAAAGAAGACGATAAGAAAGCCAATAGGAAAAATCGACGGAATTCTCTCGAGATTCCCACCAATCGCCCCCACTCCTCCAAACCAAACATTCGTCCTTCAACCGCTTCCCAAAGGTGTCGTCCCTAAGAAGTCAATTATCACTACCACAAATAAAACAGTGACTACTAAACCAGTTACACCAGCATTGAAGCCTGTAACAATTCCCAAACCCATTGCTCCTGGTCCAAAACCCGTTACTATGCCTCCAAAAGCAATTTCCCCTTCGATTCAAAAGATTCCTGCGACGAAGATCACTCCAACAGCTCGAAATGTCCAAGTCACGCATCACGGTAAAAATTACAAGCTCTTGAAGCTCGTTCGTACTCCAGGATTGAAGCCCAAAGAATCGACACCAACAATGCCCTCACCGAAGGAGAAAACCTTCGACGCATTCACAACGATGTTGCAGTCTATAAAACTTCGGCATTTGTACAAGTGCATGGATAAAACATGTACATACTCAACAGACTCAGCAGATATGTTCGGCCAGCACTATAATTCTCACGTTCAGAAACAATTGGCGGCGAAGCCGGATTCTGGGAAAGTTGTAAAGACTGTCCATGGTTACCAGAAGTGCGCCTACTGTCATGAGAATACAATGGGGACTTGGGAAGAACTTTTAGCGCATTATAAGAAGAAGCACACCTTCTGTGCCTATCAATGCGGCTACTGTTTCTATCGAGCATTCACTCAGTCGTATGTGGATTTGCATCAGACTTCGGCCCATCCAGGAAAGCCTTCCTCAGTGATCCTCGGTAAACGGGATCATCATCCTGTGGAGATAATCGACAGAAGAGAAAATGTTCATCCATTTGTGTGCAAACACGAGTGTAATAAATTGTTCTACGTCCCCGAGGCTTTTGTTGCACATTTGAAGATGAAGCATGGAGCTACATTGTCGATTTTCAAGTGCCACATGTGTCCAGCCTCTGCTCTTAAAGCAGAAGCCTTGATAGCTCATTACAAAATGCACTGCATTTACAAGTACCAATGTTTGTACTGTCTTTTTGGGGCTGATGCACCCATGGAGCTGCATCTGCATTTGAGCCACATTCACTGCAATCGTCCTCCCAAGATTCTCGAGAGATCTCTTCCACCTGCACCAGTCAGAGACAAAGACGTTCTTCTGCAATTGATCATCAGAAACCTTGATGATGATTTCAAGTGCTCAGAGTTGAAGAATGTCGTTGAAAATCCGATCGATGGTGGCATAAAACGAGTGAGAAAAGAGACAATGGTCACTGGTGGAATAAAAACTTATACGACAAGTAAAAAGCAGGTGAAATCATTTGGACAGGCAGAAGTGATTGATCTTCTTGATGGGGAGGCGGAATCTCGGAATCTTGTTCCATTAACATCAGATAATATCGTATTGACTGAAGGTCCTTCGATGCTGAAACTTCCTGATGGAGCAGTAGTGGAGAAACAACTAGCCTCTACAATTCATGACAACTCTAAGGATTCAAATTCATCGAATCAGCTATTAATTCAACAAGAACCTGAATTAATCGTTCGGTATGCTAGTGAAAAATTAAAAACTCAAATCGATAATGCGGTGGATCCATTGAGTATCTCAAGAGATGTCGACATGAGTGATGAATTCGTGAACATTAATGTACTGGATAATCCTGAGTTCTTGAGGAGTGCAGAGCAGAGAGATTCAGAGAGATCTCCAGAGATGAATCCTGTTGAGGAAGAGAAGAATGATGATAGTGATATTGAGATTCTAGAGTGTATTGAACATCCCAGCAAACCAAAACTGCAGCTAACGCCGATCAAAGAGTCTCTTCGACCTTTTTTGAGGCTGAAGGAAGAGGTGAAAGAGTCTGAGAGTGGGAGGACAACACCAACAGTTGTCTGCAGCAGTAATGAAGACTCGAATGCTTCTGCGGAGGTCAGTGGATCCACTGAGGTCTCTGCACCTTTAGAGTTTGATAATAATGAAATTGAAAGGGATAGTGAGATTATCGAGAAACCTCCATCGAGCTTGGACGATATCAAGCACAGTGGGTTCTGTGGGAAGGAGTTGTATAAGTGTGGGTATGATGGATGCAACTTCGGGGCTGTTACCCCTGGAGCGTTGAAGGTACACATTGCTAGTTGCTCACATGTAGGCGAAAATGTGCAACTCAAATGTGTGCACTGTACAAAACGATTTGTGAAGGTAGGAAACTTGATCGATCACTTCAAGATTCATGGGCCGAAGAGATTCGGCTGCTCTCTGTGTAATTTGAGATATCCACTGGCCTGTCAAGCTATCGCTCATATGAAAACCAAGCACAAGATTTCGAGTAATAAACTGGTGCCTGCTGATCCTGGAAATCCATCGCCTGATGCTTTATTCATCGTTCAACCTTTGGTAAGATTCATTTTTTTAATTATTTCATATGTGTGATTTTCGAGATTACATGAGCTATAGAATTGAGCCCTCGAGAGTTTCTCTCTAATTCTTGATTCTGTAAATTATGGCGTGCATTTTGAATACTTTATTTTTCAACTTTCTTTTGTCACACGTATGAAAAAATCTTATAGGATTTTCTATGGGAAATCCTATGAGATTTTCAATAGGGTTTCCTATGAAATTTAGGGTCATATGGGGTTTATATAGGAGTTATATCGGGATCATGTGGGATTCATATAAGGGTCATATGTCGCTCATTTGACCTCCATATGGCCCCATATTGTGACCTTTATGCCTCTAAATTTGATACGAAATCCTGTTGAAACTCTTATATGAAATGCTATAGAAATTCCTATAGGATATTCTATAAGAAATACAATAGGAAAAACCTGATAAGGAACCGTACAGGAAATCCCATCTGGAAAATCCTGTGGAAAATATTCGAATTCTCCATAGGATTTTTTTCACACGTTGAATTTTTAAATTATCTTCGTAATGTGTGATTTCGAGGAAAGTAATTGGCATAGGTACTTCAACATTGACACAGCATTTTCATGATAAAATGACCTATTACTTAAAATGGAGTTCCTTCACTTTTTGACTCATTTCATGTTTTGCATTAGACCTTATCTTCTGAAATTGTCTTCAACACGTTTCAATTGCATGATTTAAATATTTAATTTGTTCATATGCTCAAATTATGTCTGTCAAATTACACTAAACAAATCGCACAATGCTTAATTGGGTTTTATATATTTGAACTTAATAGAATTCAATATTGTTGTTGTGGAATTAAAATGTGAGGACTACAACTTGTGTAGGCAAAGTCAGTTTTTGTTAATGCAAAATTTCAAATGCATCCAAAAATGAAAGGATTTCATTGTGCAGAATAGCTATTTTCCATTTTTTTAAAATCCATCTAGTCCGCATATCATGTAATTTCACACGATGTCTATGTATATTTTTTTATGTACTGTGTAATCTTTTGTTTACAGTAGCTGTAAAAAACAGAAATTCATTTTTTACTGGAATAAAAAATACATATACAAGATAGTATATATGCATATATTATATATTATGTAGTATATATTACATGCTATATATACTGTAGTATCCATTTTTAATATCCATTTTTTGTACTTAAATTTTTTTACCTGTAAAAAAATACATATAGTTCTGTAAAAGAAGTATATATATGAGGTATTCCACGTCAAATGAGTCAATCGCTGACCCTCACCCTCTTGGAAATGAATGGCGATTTTTCCTACAATCGGGGAAGTTGAAAAACTATCTCTCAAATTTTTTCAAATTTTTTCGGGAGCCCAGTTCAAAGATGGGATTTTTTTCACATTTTTCCTTTTTTTTTTTAAAAACTCGAGTTCTATTTGTCCGATTTTGATTTATTAAGCGTCAAAATTTTACATTTTTTACAGCATATACGACTATTTTTAGTAATTTTTTTTTTTCGATTCCTAGAGGCTCATAATAACGAATTTTCGAGAAAACAAAGTTGAAAAATTTGAATTTTGCAAATTATGTCACGATTGATATTGAAATTTTTTTTTCAGTAATTCTCATAATCAAAACAAGTATTTTGAGCTCTCATTTAAGTTGGGCATCCTCCTGGATCTATGTTATTTTTAATTTTTTCTTTTGGAAATTTCGCAAATTTGGTCAAAACACCACAAAACGACTTCGATTATGTATCGAAAAAACATGTAATATATAGATATACTATCAAATTCACTTCATACTGTCTATAATCAAAGTCAACCAACGCCATTTTGAGGTGATGCGACCAATTTACGGAATTTCGAAAAGAAAAAAATTGAAAATAAAATAGATCTAGGACACTACCCAACTTGTATGATGGCTCAAAATACTTGTTTTGATTATAAAAATTACTGAAAAAAAATGAAACAAATCATCCGTGACGTCATTTGCAAAATTCAAGTTTTTCAACTTTTTCATTCGAAAAGTCGTTATTATGCGCATCTAGAGATCGAAAAAAAATTTTACTAAAAATATTCTTATAGGCAGTAAAAAATGAAAAATTTTGACGCTTAATAAGTCGAAATCGGATGGATAGAATTCGAGTTATTGAAAAAAACCGGAAAAACGAAACAAAAATCATATCTTCGAACTGGGCTGCCGAAAAAATCTGAAAAAATTTGAGATGTAGTTTTTCAACCTCCCCAATCGTAGAAAAAATCGCCATCAATTTCCAAGAGGGTGAGGGTCAGCGGTTGACTCATTTGGCGTGGAATACCTCATATACATATAGAATAGTATATATGTATAAAGTACATAATACATCCCTAAAAATAAACAAGAACGCAAAAAGTAAAAGAGAAACGGTAAAGTTTTACCATTTTGCCCCGTTCTAGTGCCGAGAAAATGTTGTGTCTCTTTTAAAGTATGCTATTTTATGACGATTACCGTTAGGTAAAGTATTTTTCAAAGCTGTAACAATCATTTATTTACAAACATCTTCATTCCAAGATAATTACAGTTTGCTATCCATTGCGGTGATTTTTAATTGCTCTTCTAACAAAAGGTCTATCATTTACGTGAGCAGGGACCCGGCGAGAGGAGAAAAAGAAAATTCGGCAAGACCAAGTCCTTCGATTCAACTCAAAAAGAGCCAACAGTTTTTGGCCCCAATGATATTGACAGTCTTCCCAGACAGGCAATCTACAATCAAGAAGTTCGTTGCGCAGTTTGCCCTTACACTACTAAAGTTAGAACGAACATTATCAGGCATTTACAGCTTCATGCCAAGGACGAGTATGTTCCTGAGTCAGGTCCAGTGAATCCAGTGCCATGCTTGGATAAAAAAGAGAAAATGTTCGATAAAATGGTGAATCTTGCCAGTAGTTCTCATCAGAATGGACGAATGGGAGCCAAAAATAAGGAAACTGTGACTGACAGTGAAGCTGAACTCATGCCGAAATTTGTCCCAGAGAAACAAAGGTAAAGGAAACAAACTGCAATATGTGATGCTGGTTGAATCTATTGGTTGTTTTATCTTCTTGTTACTGTAAATGTTTAAAATTGAAAAATGAGAATCCATTCACTAGTTTTTGGGATTTTTAGACAAAGCTATTTTCGAGTTTTTGACTAGATTTTTTTATCACATGACAATTCCACTGAAACTTGAAGGAATTTCGTCATTGGAAATTCACAATTTGATGCAAAAATCAACGGAAATTGAATGATTGGGTTTTGATTGAGAATTCAAGTCTCCTTGCTGCTCAAAAGTTTGAAATTCCATTGAGTTTCTAGTGGAATTTGAAATTACATGATTTTTAAGTGTCTATGAATGTTTAATTTTTTATTAACAATGTATATCTCAGAAACTTCTGGGTCCAGACTGCTAAAGTTTTACGTGATAGTGTAATTCAGCCATAACGTTGTAGGTGTTGTTGCCTCAGTTCTGGTCATTTGAAGTAATTTTTTTTCAAAATAAGAGATTTTTATCCGTGGATTTATCATTTCTTTATAATTCATTTCTTCTCGTTTCTCAAAGTAAAAGTGGAAGCTTCAACGATGTCGTCTCCGAATGTAAAAGAAATCTAGAGAAGTTTCATGAAGATATTCTTTGTAACTCTCAGTTTAAATTTGCCTCACTTTACCACTTCACTACCGTCAATGTTCGATTGCTCCTCAACGATGAGTTTCCATCACCTATTTGACAACATTAGACATCAGACCATTTCCAATGGTGACATTTTCCTTTAATCTTTAATTAAAAATTTATCTAGATACGTATGCTGTGTGGTCGACTGCAACTGCCTAACAATCAACGAGGATTTATTGCGTTGTCACCTGAAAGCATTGCACCCAGAAGAATCATTCTTCCGCTGTCCTCACTGTCCACCTCCAGGGCAAGACACCCAGAGTATACCAATTGATAAACTCGGTGTGCACTTGAAAATGCACGACACTAGACTTTACAAATGTTCACACTGCAATCATCACCATTATCACAGGTTTGTAAACACCAACATCATCACTCCCTCCCTCAAAATCTCCCCTCATCAACTTTCCGAAACTCCAGACATCAGCAGTCTTCTCATCGGGCTGAAGGCGTTCACCCACTTGAATTACTCAAAAAATCGTCAAAAGTTCCCAAAATTCTCAAGTAAATAATTATGATCCTCAAATCTCTCCCAAAATTTAATGAAAAATTATTTCTCCCTTTGCAGACATGTAGTCGAGCGTCATTTAACAGACAAACATCCAGAGAAGAGACCCTTTGTCAAGGTCATTCGAGAGATAGAGAATCCAGAGGGCCTCGAGAAAGCCCCGACAGAAGAAACCGAAGAGGGCATCGCCGATCCTGATGGCAATCACTGGAAGTGCAATGTTTGCGACTACAAATGTATTTACAAAACCGAAATGATTACCCACGCCTCAACATCCCACGACGAAAAATCGCAGTTCAAATGTACGGGCTGTCCTTTCAAAACTTCTGGAAAGATAAGTTTTGAGCAACACATCATCTCCAAGCACATCAACGATTCCGAGGTAGACTGCACGATGGTTTACGAGCGAATCAGAGGAACTAAGAAGCCGGACAGTGTAGAGACACCTCCTGTCGATGAGCCTTTCGATACAACTCCATTATGGCGAAGGGACATGCCGAGAATTCGTCACATCAGAGGAATCCTTCTCGAAGAGGATAATGCGAAAAAGTCTTCAGAATCTCCAAAATCAGGAAAGCGAAAATCCGATGTTGAGCCAACTGCAAAACCCGCAAAGATCAAAGCTAAATCAATGTCTTTCGATGGTACTGTAATCATTGAAAAAACAAAGAATCCTGGTGCTTCAAAATTACCTGAGAAAATCTACACTCATGAGGAGCTTCAAGAGAAATTTGGCCCTTATGGAAGACCCAATGGAAACATGTACTTTTGCACAATTTGCAGTAATTACAATTCGAAATATCGTCAAGAAATCAGAGATCATTTGTTCATGGAGCTGAAATACTGGAGATGGCACTGCAAGGAATGCGGACATTTGACTGTTTCTCACACTAGAATGTTGAAGCACGAATATAAAGTGCATAAAGATAAGAAACCATTGACAGTGGAGCTTGTAGAGAAAGAAGACATTGATCAATGGGTCTTAAACCTCATGAATACCCAGAGGGATATTATGAGAGAAGAAGTTGGGGATGCGGCTCCCTCGGCAATAAAGTCTAAAGTTCCTCTTCCCACACCAATTTCACCACTCACTATAACTCTCGAAGACTCGGGAGAAAAAGTAATTGCTTCCTCAAGCATGGAAACAACGGCAGAATCATCTAAAATTGTCGATCTCACTGCAGCAATCTCAAAGTTAACTAGAAACGAAGAATCCGATGATGAGGATGACGACGGAAATGCTTTAGTTATTGATAGCAAAGAACTTGAAGACGGTAAAGACACATCTTTTGATCAAATCGACAAAGCTCCGCCGAAAGAATCCAAGAAGATGTACATCTGCAAACATTGTAATGTAGAGTTTGCAGGGCTTCGAGGATTTAAGATTCACGTGCAAATTAATCATTTAAAACGTCTTGCATTTGTTTGTCCCTACTGTGACAGAAGCACAAATTCTGAAACCATGATGAAGACTCATATCAGGAAGAATCATCAAGGGGAAGAGGAGAAAATCATCAAGAATCCTTATGCCAATGGTCCCGAACTGAGCAACACTTTTTGGGAGAAAGAATATGGCATCGTTATTCCAAAGAAACTGAAAAAGAAAAAGCGAAAAATTGATGATGTGGATAATACAACAATCGATGAAGATAAACTTCCACTTTCGGACATTTGCGCTAAATGTGGATTCACTGCAATAAATTCTACAGGATTAGCAGCTCATATGAGAGCCCATGCCAAGAGGGATTCCCTCAAGTGCGTACATTGCAGTTTTACAGCTAATTCACAGGTTGATATCTGGCAGCACTCGGAGATAAATCATCCTGACTTGGATTGGAAGGCTGAGGAGATAAGATCGGGAATTTCTTCAACAGATCCACCGGTTCTGCACATCAAGAAGAGGCACGTTGATGATTACAATGAAGATATTGAAGAAGAACCTACAGCACTATCCGTAGGTGAGCCTGAGAGGTCCCTCCAAAGGATCTATACCTGTTTCTACTGCAAAAACGTGAGAAGTCTCTCTTTACCTACGATCAGATCTCACTGGAATCAGTACCATAAAGACGTTAACGCACTGTCGATTTGTCAGACTGGGGTGCCATTTAAATTTACAGAATCGATTAGTGGAATTCCGGATACCGAGAAACAGGTGAAATGTAGCTATTGTCCCATGAAAGGTTCAACAATTGCTGTGAAGGCTCATATAAGAAAAAAACATGGTAAGGTACCCCTGCGACTAATCGAAATTGTCGATGACTCTCAAACGATTTGGATCTGCAAGTGGTGCGATGAAAAGGTTAAAGGTGTGGATAATAAAACGTCCCATCACAACATGTTCCATTCACACTTGGCCATGAGGTTTCAGATGGAGGAGAAGGTGGTGAAAGAGAGAGGTTTCGCTTGTCCTGCGTGTCCGTTTGTTAATGCCTCTCTAGGGAAGATGAGAACTCACGTTGTCAAGCACGCTGAAGTCTTCAAGTGTAAAAGATGTTTGAAGACGTTCAACAGTCTCCCGAAAGCAACACAGCATTCCACCAATGAACATGCGGGTTTAGCAGCCGCTATTGAAAAAGCTCAGACTAATGTGGAAGCTCTAATGTCGAAGGTTTCTCAGTCTGATCTGGTGGACGTTCCCGAGGAGGAGCCGAGCACTGTGCCTTCTACAGATATCTTTAGGAACCTTGGGGTTGCTCGCAAGTCAACGACTAAACAACTGCTAAAGAAACCCTCGAGTGGAGTTAAATCAGTCGCCAGAAAGTCTACACATCCTCTTCCGAGGTATCCCCCTGGTTTGAAATTCGATATCGAGGGGCTGGACAGTGAAGGGGAGAGCTTGACCAAGCCTGTCGGCTGGAGTTACTACGGAAGACCCCCCACCCCTATAAATCTCGCCAATTTGAATACTGTGATGTCCCTTGGCGTTGCCAAGATGAAGGTCAAATGTACTAAACTGGCAAAACTGATGAATATCGACGCTCAAGTCATTCTGGTTGACTTTAAGAAACAAAAAACCAAGTAGAATGGTTTTACTGTGGTTGAAATTGCCCGGTAATAACAATTGCTACTTTCATGTTGAAGAACGGACGAAATAATTTTAACAACTTGCAGTTGCTGATTATTTTCTTTGGCCTTTTTATGTTGTGAGTGACAAGTGAAATTTTTTTAATGGTGTTTAGCAGAGTGACAGAAAAGTATTAATGAATCAATGAAGAGTTCCAGATGACTGAGTGCAACACTTAAATTGAAGTTTAAGAGCACAACTAAGGAGGGGTGATCATTTAACCTTCTCAATTATTGTTATTTTTTCTTCTCGTTTTATATTTTGACTTATGATTTCAAAGTGTGTGTCATATATACTAGGAGCATCGTAAGCGGCATATATTAATTTACATTTTTCACATTAATAATTCTTGAAATTTCGTCGGGAGGAGTCCCAACATCAGAGGACCTTCTCATCAGTTCATCTCACCAGTATCTTATGTTGATTAAATTCATGGTTCTAATGGTAGGGCTCCATTGTGTGAAAGACAAGACTGACGACTATCCTCTCATCAACTATCAGAGTTCAAACTCTGGCTGGAAAATTTTGTAAATATTGTACTCTAAGTGAAAACCACTTGAATAAAATATTTTTGATTTTTATAGAGGTGACTCTGGTGTTATCGCTTTTTATTGATAAATAAAACCAACACTTCTTTTATTACAACTTTTCTTTATTATTTCAAAAATCAAGGCGAAGGACATTAATTATGAAGCGCGGTATAGTTGAGAAAAATGCATGGTAATTTACGTGTCCAAATTGAAAAATGCGTAATCTTAAAAATACATTTTTTCATATTGTCGGAATATTCTTAGCCCTTCAGAGACGAAAGTCCGGCTCTCATTATCTCATCGACTAGGAGTAGGTTGCTGGCAATGACGGTGCTATAAAAATACCAAAATGAATTAATGCATGATCGAAAGGTTGTTACAGATTCAGTCGAAAAGTAGTAACATGGTTCGATTCTATACAGTCCAGTTTCCGTACAAGATACTTAGCCTAAATCCGTCCCGAGTGATACCCCCACTTTCGGGCTGAATGTTTTTCGTTTCGTATTCTCCGTACAAGATACTCGACAAAGGGGCTAGAATTGCGTGGGAATGGGATTGAAATATTGTAGAAATTACTGGAAATATATGCATGTATGATCTAGAAATTAATTGCACATCAATTGAATTTCAAAAGGAAGGGCAACTCGTTACAATTAATAAAAAAAATTAAACGCATCGGTCATAACACTTGGTAAAATATAGATTTTTCTATATGCATTGTACCATGTGTTTTACGTCCATTTTTTGATGGATAGGTAGACAAAACAAAAGAAAATTCAACCCAATTTTTATGAAAACCAAAAATGTAATGAAAGTCAATTTTGCCTCGCAGACCCCTGTAAATAAACTAACTTATTTCGAGTTTCTGAATTGTTATTTTCAAAGAAAACAACATCTTCTAATCAAACTTTCGTGTTTCACCTCAGGAATCGTACTCAAATGATCATAAAAAATGGAAATCGTCTAGTATCTTGCACGAAGAATATCAAATCAAAGTATTTTCTCCTCAGTAAAGTGGGAGATACGTAATTCTCGAAATTTTAGTCCCCTACAGTCCCTGTGGTATCTTGTACGAAGATTGGGCTGTCTCTCAACATAGTGGTTGTACGTAAACATAGCATTAGAACTTCTGAAATTATTTATTCCCCACGGAAGTTTCTAAATGAGGGAGGGTGAGGAAAATGGACACTTTGTTTTGCTTTCTATGTTCATAACTCAAAAACGAGTTGACCAAATGTGTTCAATCTAGGCCCATCGCAATAACAGGAAGGGGGGAAATTGTACTTTCGACAGAGAAAAACAAACAACCTGACAAACTGCGATATACATCCTACCAAAATTTTGATTCAAATTCATTATTTTTTTTTACAGATGAAACCCCTTAATTGTTTAAAAACACATACGTGGCTCTGACAACTGATAACTGTAGCTGGTGGCTTCAAATCCTTGTGTTGTTGTTAGGGTTTTTGCAATTTTTAATCAATTAATATGTTACCGGTACTCGACACAGAGCCTATTAGAGTTTGTGACTATGTATTAGATTTGTCAAGAGTCTGAGGAAGCTGGACTTGGTAACGAAACGCCACGAGTTGACAATAAAATAGTAGAGTAAACTCTAGCTATCCCATGGAAATAAATAACGTCATAAAATCATTTCCTATACAAAAGCAATCTTATGTATTGAGCAAAATTCTTCATCACAAAGTGATGGCCTCACTTCGCGGACTTTTGCACAAAATCTAGTCATATTAAACATGTTGATAATGCGGAATTTTCAAATTGACATATCGGGGTTCACCAGACAGCCAATTAATTATTTCTTGCCAATATAAATCCATAATTATCAGAAGATTCAATGTTTGACCTGAACCATGTCACACCTCAGAAACTGAATTTCAATTAATTGAAAATAAAAAAAAGACACCTTTGCACTTACCAAGAATTGATAATTTGCTTCTTGACAATGTAATTGTCATAAATGCCTGCATCTTTAGGTTTCAATGCTTCCCCACTCGCGATGTCGAGTCCCACTGGTTCACCAAGGGTGTTGCTCTCTTCCAGAAGCTTAACAATGGTAAACTGAGAGTCGAATCCACTATTAACAGCTAGAGTCTTCGGAATGATCAAGAGAGCCTCACTGTAAGCCTGGATTCCTAGACGGAGTTTTCCCTTAACTTGTTCCTTGTACTTGCTCAAGGCCATGCTTGCAGCTATTTCGAAAGCACCAGCTCCAGGGATGATGGCTTTATCGTTTATTGCATTGTTAATTGCTCTCAAACCATCTCTGACTGCGTCCTTGAGCTGCACGAGAGTGTACTTGTTCGGTCCTTTGAGTAAAATAGTAACAGAGTTGGGTTTCTTGCACTCCTCGACGAAGGTGTACTTGTTCTCCCCGAGAACGTGCTCGTACACTAATCCAGCCCATCCCAAATGCTCCTCTTGGAGGTCATCAACTGAGTTCATTGCAACTCCACCACAGGCAAGAGCCAGACGTTCCATATTCCTGCGCTTTGCCCGACGGAGAGCCATTATTCCTTCCTTTGCAAGGGCGTCCAAGGATGGGGGATCGATTCCTTTCTGGTTGATGATGACGAACGTCTTATCAGTTCCGTTACAGAGCTTGCGTTTCAACTCGATAATCTTCTGAACTCGGTGGTCGATAAACTCACGCTCAGCTGCCACAAGCTTTTCACGCTCTTCGGCAGTTTTGTAGAAGAAGCCGCTATTTACCTGTGAAAGGTAATGACAGAGGAGATGAGTTGAAGGAATAAATGGTTTTGGTTTTAGAGCAAAAAAAATTTACTCCACCTGAGTTCAGATCAGTACGCCGCCGAATTTTTTAATTTGTGCATTGATAATTATTTGATTGTTTCCATCATATAGAGATTCGGGAAGCTGATGGAAGCATCTAGCATGTCGCTTTCCATGTAATTTATACCTTAAAACCATCTAAGGTTGATCGAGTAGATAGATCGGGAATAATATGGCGTGCTAAATGGAAAAAGGTCGGATAAACCTAATCTAGGGTACATGAATGAAATGAAATTGGACGATTTGGGCTCTCTAGAATCATTTTAACTCACCTTTTGAGGGCAATTTTTTTTTTTTGCGCATACAACCTTTATCCACAAATTTTTCTCAAATAGAAATTTCTCTCGAATAATGTTTATTTCTTTAAAGGTACGACTGAATATTAGAAAAATGAAGAGAAAACAATGAAATTTTTTTTTTCCATTTTTCCACTATTGGAGAAATATTTATGGAAAAAGGTCGTATGGGTAAAAAAAATTGTCCTCAAAAGTTGGGTGAAAATGATTCTGTAGACCGAAAATCGTCCAAATTTCATGTTCCCTAGATTAGGTTTGTAGGACCTTTTTCCATGTATCACGCGATATGTAACTTGGTATTGAGCATGTGTGGAGTAGAATTTTTATGAATAAGATGTTCATGGAAAACATCCCATGTGTGAAAAAACTGAAGGAATTTCGTTGCGTGTGAGATCATTCTGTCGAGAAAATGCTGTGTCAAAGGTCAAATACGTTTTAAAAATATTGGTATCAATTCCTGTCATTACATTGAATGGATTGTGGAATAAAATTGTTAAAGGGCCCCCTGCAGGTGTCTATTCACTATTAGCGTTATGTTTATTGCTGGGATATTCTTTGGATTGATATCTTTTTGTCACAATCTTTAAATAACTAATGGGTTGATGAATAAAATAAATGAATGCGCTGATGGAGAACACTTTGTGTTCGAAACGTTGGCAAATAGCGAAAGAATGGTTTTTTTCTCTCAATTCTTTCCTACTTTTCATTTCTAATTAACATTGCTGATATGACCGTTAATTGAGGTGAAATTTCCACTTGCAGCGAATCGTTAATGAATTCATAGTTTTCTCTTATGAGAACGAAAATAATAGTCCTGATGGTAATTCATTAATTTGATCCTCAAAGCACTCAATGAATAATTAATTGAGCAGTTTCTTCTGCAATAAATTTTACAGATTTTGTGTTGGTTAATAATTGAATTTTTGAAGGTGAACCAGTTTACCTCACTTTTCTCGTACTCCAAGCTGACATTGCAGGTAAGAATGTACGCATTTTCAACTCTTTTAGGCATATCTGGATGCCTGGATCCATGATCCATAACAATACCCCTGACCAGAGAGGTATCACCAGCAGTTCTGTGCTGCATCTCCATGAGCTCGATCATGTGGAGATCCACAGGTTGATCATCAATCCTGATAGCCAAGACAGCATCGACGCATACTTCAGCGAGTTTATCAGCGAGATGTTGGTGAACTTTGGTCCTCAATGATGTCTTAGCGACGTCCAAGAGGCTCTCCTTGTCGGCTGCCACCGGGATTTTCATGGACTCCAGAATTTCTAGAGTCTTTACGCGTGCAAGGTCGAAGCCTTCAGTTAAAATTCTCGGGTGAAGACCCTCGGAAATGTATAGGTCGGCTTGTTTAAGGAGTTCTCCGATGACGAGGACTGTGCTGGTTGTACCGTCACCCGTCATGTCGTCCTGGGCTGTGGATGCTCGGGCGATGAGGGAAGCTGTTGGGTGCTGAATCTGCATCTCGTGAAGAAGGACATTTCCATCTTTTGTGATCTTTATGTCTCCAGCACCAGAGACCAACCTAGAATAAATGCCAATACATTTTCGAATTTATTTTCTAGTAATTTATAGACATTTTGCAGAAGTTGGAAGATTTTTCATTGAAAATTTAGACAGAGGAATGAATAGAAAAATTGTAAAACGGATTTGAGTAGATTTTCATTGAATTAACAAATCATATTGCATTGATATTAACAGTGCTACATCGATTCCGTGACCTTCGTCTCAGGAGTGTAAAAAGTTATGAAAAATGACTTATTTCCAAGAAATAGTGGTGTTCAACATTTCAAGCTTGTTCATACTTTTTGTGATAGCATCGCATGTTACTGTGAAAGTGAATGATGAACTCTAAAGATTGCAGCAGGTTTCATCTTGCAGAGGGTTTTTCTAATCGAATTTAATGCCCTAAATGAGTCGTGTATTTTGCTTCCGAATGGAAGCATTATAATCGTGCATTTTTACGATCTTGTAATTTTGCTTGGAAATGATGTAGAATGTCATGAAACGTCGAGATATAATGTTTTCAGAAAATGTGTGTGTCAGTATGAGTGTTTGTGTGTGTGTGTGTGCGAAGTTTTCGGATTTTTTAAATAAATCTTCACGAAAAAATTAGAAGATAAAAATGGATGATTATAAAGCTTCCATTGGGAAGCAAACAAGCAGGGTAGCGGACCTATTCGACAGAAGCGACAGACCGTTATTTTATTCGTTATTATTCGTCTTTTTGATTCTTCCTCTCTCTACCAATTTCGTTGGTAATAAGCTTCCGAATGGATCTGTCGCAGTGGTTCTATGATAAATAGCGCTGAAAATCCTCCTTGGAAAATTTCGTAGATTTTTTTCTACACCGATTTCCGTTATTATTTTTATCGTTATTTTCACTTGTTTGAATGATAAGTCATTTGTTTTTTCGAAGATTATTCTCCTCCAGTGTCCCTCTTTCATACTGTTCAATTTTCCTATGATGGCATTTACACTATGGAATAATTTATTATTCTTCATACCAAGAGATAGTATATCTATAATCACACCTCTTAGACTAATGGATATTTTATTTTTATTTCTTTATTTGTTGGTCTATCAATTTTTTCGAAAGTCTCATTTTTCTCAAAAGTTTTCAATGTTATCAATCCCTATCCACTTGCATGGTGGATAGCAAGAGCATAATTGGGAATTATGAAAAAGAAAATTTGCTCTCAGAACATCTGACTCTTAAAACTCCTGAACTGTGGAAATCCCTGATCGTTACAAAATTCGACCCTCAAAATGTATGAGCCTCTAGACATTTGTGTCTGTCACAGTATCAAACACTGCCATAATATATCAAACAAAAAAGAACTTAATCTTATGGGAGATGACTGCTTAAGTCATACAGATTCGAAAATCATTGATAGAATGACAAATGTGTCATTTTTTGACAAAAACTATTTTCAGATAAATTGCTGTATGCCAAAATATATTGAATCGATCAGCCCAAAATTTCATACACTAGTGTGACTCAATGGTATTAACTATTACCCAAAATTTTGAATTGTATTTCCAACTTCTACGTGCATTGTGGAACGTCAAATCAACTCTGAGATAAAAAAATTAGAAAAACGCCAATATCTCGAAAACTTCGTATGAAAGGGTATCCATATTTTGATTGATCTCGACATCAAGACGAGTATTTTGAAAAAAAAATTTCAATCCGACCAATAATTTAAGAGATATAGAGCAAAACATATTTTCATAAAAAGTTAAATATCTCCTCAATACTCGCCCGATTCTACCTGTCCACAATACCAGCCTGTAGTAGCATAAGAGACTAGAATTAGACCAAATTTCAGCTTGCTATTTCAATTTTTTCGAGAGTTATCGTGCCTACACCGATTTTATGACAAAAATTAAATTTGCCAATTACTACCAAGTTATGCCTGGTAAGAAATATGATGACTTGATTTGAAAGATATTATCATAAGAAATATTTTTACGTCAAAAAACATCAATTCAAGAATTTTCAATTCTTGTTTTCTCTTACTTCTAACTGCTCATTTCCTAATAAATCATTTTTCAATCAGTGAGGATTTCGCACCTGACATATTTTGTTTTTCCACTTCCTTAATGAAAGAAATCAACAGATTCGTGAGAATTGGTTCATTTTTTCCGAATATTCTGCTACCAAACATGGAGGAACTGTCTTTATTTCAATTTTTAATGAGACTAAATTATGATAGGCGCATTTGGAAAAATTATTTTGGTCAATTTCAAGGAATTTCAGTGCTAAAACGTATGAAGTAAGATGTAAATAATGAAAAAATTTGATAAAAGAGTGAAAAAAAAATCCGGTCGAGATTTAGGTAATGTGCCTGGCGTACCGGTTACACCCGACATTGCCATATAAGGTAAATTTCCATGTCACATGTACAACTTCAAACTACTAAAAGTCAAATGCTGTTTACTTAAAAGCAATTTCACTTGATTTTCGTTACTTATTCACGATTGATTTTAATCGATTCTCCAGTAAAACTCTCAGCAAATTGGAAAATTCATAATTGACAAATTTCAAAGCACGTGAATCCTCACATCTTCATGGTTCCCCTGGGTCCAAGATTGGTCTTCATCACCTCCTGGATGCCCTTAGCCCCCGCCATATTCACTGCCAAAGCCTGGGATGCTCTTGCAACCTCGGCTTTGGGGTTCAACAAACTAATCGCTGACATTATGCAGTTTTAATTAATTTTTCGAATGAAACTTGAAAAATGAATCAGTCACTCCACGAGAAACAACGCCAGTGGACTATAAACTTACTATTAATACAGATGTTAGACTCTGCACAAATTTTCTAGAGGAAAGATCCCTCTCTCGGATCAAGCCGAAAATGTACTAATTTATGTTGGTCAAACAGTGTGGGTAAGATAGAGATTGAGTTGATCCGTGTGAAGTTGTAGGGGCGGGTGGGGCAATATGGACATTTGGAGTAAGAGGCACTCAAAAAATTTGCGACAAATTTTTTTTTTTCAAAATTCAAATTTTTGAAAATTTATTTGATCAGCAAAATTTCCACTATTTAAAAAAAAATTTTTTTTCGTTCAAATATGTCCTTAATATAATTATATTTCTTCTTATTATTTTAATCATATAAAAAAGATCCCTGGGATACAAGCAGCCACTTAAGTTAGGTGGCTGTTAGGTGGGTAATTGGGGCTGTCTTGTTTATAGGTGTAAAAAAAGGGTAAATGATAACTGAAACCATTATGGATGTTAATCTATGAATTATTAATGAATTTTAGTACCTTTAATGACATTAATTTCCATTAATTAAGGAAAATAACTGTTTCCGTATTGTAAAGGAAAATAAGTCAGTAGGGGGAACGCCGCCAGATGGCGGCAGTGTCGACTTCTCGCCCAGGCCGATAAAGTCAGCAGCACTGGCGGGAGAAATACTTTTCAAAACTGGTAAAGGGACGTTCTCACGTAATTGATTATCCAATAGGTTCATATTGGCATTTTTTTAAATTAGTTTAATTCTGTATTCAGCCAATTGCCTTACGTGAAAAATGGTATGGCAAATAGATATAGAGGAGGAGAATGCTCAGGGTCAAATAGGGGCCAAGGAAGTCATCAAATAATTAGATAAACAAAAGAATCGAATCTAAAAAATTTGAACTTGGTGAGAAGTGGGGGGAAGGTATGAGAGGGTTGAGATTTTCACCCGTTGATGGGGGGGAGGGGTGGCAGAATTTATATGAATAATATATATATTTTAAATTATGTTGAAAAAACGATTGAAAATTATTTTCTAAACAACTATCTTTTTATGGATTGATTTTCGAATTAAAAAATTAATCAACTCAATAAATAAATTGATTTATTCACCCGCTCGGTTTTTTTATCTGTGGAAAATAGACGCATATATCCGGAGGGATGAAAATTGAGGGGGGTGAGAGGAAGGGGTCTGAGATTACATTTTCATAAAATTTCCCCCCCCCCCGGAAACATTCGCTGATTTTTTATAAATTAAAAAAAATGAATTTCGGGGAAAATACATGAGTATGCGGTTTCGCGGGGGGGTTGAAGACACCCGCCTATATCCGGAGGGATGAAAATTTAGGGGGGTGAGGGTGAGGGGTTTGAGACTACATTGTTATAAAATTTACCCCTCTGGAAACATGCGCTGATTTTTTATAAATTAAAAT